GTTAGGAAACAAGACTTCAAGACCACGGCCACACAGCCCGGAAGACCCACACCAGCCAACAAACTAAAAGCTTGTACTTTTTATCAGCAGAGTTGGATAGGGGGATTTTCTTGATGTTTTGCAAATTGAAAACTTCCCCATAAGAACGCATTCTTTGTAGTAAACATGTAAAACATCATTGTTCTGGATGTTATTCATTCCAGGACAATGAGGCTTGTTATATATTGGGCTTATTGTACATCAGGCAACAAAGGCAAGTCTGCAATTCCCAGGATTCTTTTAGGCTGGGTTGACTAGAAATGGCGAAAGTCATTGTCCCAACACAGCTGCAGAGTTCCAACTTCGGAAGGCTGGTTTACGTAGTGGTATCACTTATAATACCTGCATGAAGTGCCATCTCTAGGAATGAAATAATCCATCTGTGCAGTTTTTACTCAAATCAACCCAAGTGGCAAAGGAGACGACCCCATTTCGGTCTACCCTTTGTCAGGTGAGCCCAAACCAAAGCCAATGTTGTCACATGACAAGACCACTGAAAAACAAGTAGGACATGGCAAGAACCACGATCAGATCTGCTGTCCTGAGAAAATAACTAAATAAATAATTGACTTTAAGGTAGGGTAGGGGAATCCCGATCTGAACTAAAGCATTACTACAAGGGGACACAGCTTTTGCCAGCCTTGCATGGCATAGTATGTTGGACTGGGTGGACTCAGGAGAAAAACTAGATTTGATTTGATTCTCTGTAGATTTAAACTGAATTAAAACTACATACAGTTAATATCATTACTCTCCAGTTATGTATTTACATATTTACCAGATAGGGAGATAATATTTTTCCTCAAGATGTGAATTGAGAGAAGATCTTATACTCTCTGATTAAGAAGAGTAAAAGCTATTGAAAAGAAGAATCTTTTGGAAACAAAGGCCTGCAAGAGAGGTGCCGTTGGCTGCAGACCTTCGGCTAGGAAGAAGATCCCTTTGAAGACTAGCATGAAGCTTACTTGCTGCTTGGGACAGCCAGGAAATTCCAACTTTTTGTAACCCCTAATTGGGGCTTCTTCCCTTTTCCCTTTCTGCTGAATTATCCCATGTTCCTGCCTTGCTTCTGTCCAGTTTTCTCACCTCTTCCCTGCTCTTCCCATTCAGCCACCACTTTATTTTTCTTTTTTTTTCTCTGTCTTTTTTGCAACTTTTGACATTTTTACTGGAAGAAAGGAGTCTGTGTGTTTGTGTGTGTGTTGTCTTGTGTGATTTTGTGTCAATAGTGTGCTTGTCTGTGAGAGACAGGCACAATAGGAAGGGATTAATTAACTTGCAAATGGGGCACTTTATTTTACAGACTGTTCATTTTCATTAATAATTAAAGTAATATTATTTGTGTGGAATGTGTCACATACAAACATTTATTTGGGGGGGGGGGAGGAATCTCCAGGACTGGATTCATACGGAGTTGGCATATCTACATGGACAAAGTGGGAGAAGCTGAGCATTGGACAGCATTTTGCTTTTCTGTCTATTATTCCTTTTTTATGGGGATCACCTGAGACTTAAGACCATTTTCCTTTTGGGTAAATGCCTTAAAAATGTCCTCTTCTCCTACATTAGAAATTAAATTTGATAATAATGTTATAGACCTCTAGGGCGCTTTCTAAGACTTGGGTTCTATATTCTTCCTTGAAGAATTGAGATTCAAACCCTTCTTCTCCACACAGTGTTCCTGATTAAACTCTACCTCTACCCCTGAAGTTTCTATTTGCTCTGTGGGAGAAAGCATTCAACCCCCCAAATGATAGAAATGCCTGTCTCTTGCCTCCCGGCCTTCTTAGAACAGGTAGATCCCTGGCTTTGTCACCTGATCCCACAGTACAATTATAGTCCCAGTTTGGCTCCTCATACTCATACCATTGCCATAGAAAAATGGAAATATTGCTTAAAGCAAATTTAAGGGTATAATGATACTTAATAAATAATCATAAATGTTATCTGTGTTGTTTAGAAAAGTAAAAGGAGGATCTTCCCTTTTTTCTTACAAATGGGAAAATTTGCCACATTGTTTCAGAAAGAAAGAAAGTCTGCCACTGCCCTCAGCGCTGCTCTTGGAGCCACCCACTTCAATCAATTGCTGAAGGAGCCAATACTTAACTCTTGTTAATATTCTTGTCCTCGTCTGCAGAGCCAGCTACTACAGAAAAGGAGGGTGTGCAATGCTGCCTGTCAAATGGATGCCACCTGAAGCCTTCATGGAAGGGATATTCACATCGAAAACAGATACCTGGTAGGCATACTCAGAATTTTCTGTCCATTTTGCAAGCAAACAGCTGCCCAGGGGTTAAAGTATCATTATCCACTATTTTTTTCTGGTGGAAGCGATGCTTTTTCATGAAATATCTTGGGCTTTATCCAGCGGTTCTTTTAGCATGGCTCTTTCTTCTGCCAAATAACACAGTGTCAAATCCATGCCATAACTCCTTAACACACTATGGGAGGAAGTAGATCCAAAGCCACCCATAGGGGATAATTAGAAAGCATGCAACTATACAACATAAAGGGATTTGAAGAATTGTCCTCAAGTTTCCACATATAAACCTGATTTTATTTCTTGCTTTTCTGTCTCCAGGTCATTTGGAGTGTTGCTGTGGGAAATATTTTCTCTCGGGTATATGCCCTATCCCAGCAAAAGCAACCAGGAGGTCTTGGAATTCGTCACAAGTGGGGGAAGGATGGATCCACCCAAAAACTGTCCTGGCCCCGTGTATGAAATCTTTCATGCTCCATAAGGCCAACTTGTGTCTTTAGTTTCCGAATTCTTTCTGCTATGGATATGTGTACATGCAGACAGTCAGACAGGCATGCATGTCACCTGTCTGACAAAGCAAGTCACATTTGAAGCAAAGGTTTGCAATGTGCAGAACTCCTTTCCTTGGCGCCAAGCAATCAGCATTCAGTAGGCACTGAAAATAAGCTGTTTGGGGAGTTCCTTTCTTATTTTCTAGAAATTTATGGTACTTCTGCAAAACTTGAGTTCCCCCAAACTTGTTAACATACGCAGGTGATGCCATTTTGGCTCAGAATCAGTATCTTGAATAATGGATTCATTGTTAGGACATAAGATGGCTGTTGTTAGGTTCAAGAGATTCCCATTTTTTTAATAGTCCCAGCCATTGTAGCCCACCCTAGCCAATAGCTGCTCTGCTATTCAAAGTTCTTATTCTCTGGCATTGATTCAATACTTTCTGTTGTAAATAATCTAAATTTAATTATAGATAACTGTATAGATGCATTGTATAGATAAGTTCATGCTTCTAAGAAATTGATAATCAAGGTTTCCACATTTTTTCTTATGTAGAGGGATGTTAGAGAGCTTGTTGGTGCAGTGGTTAAGGTACCAGCCTAGAAACCAGGAGATGGTGAGTTCTAGTCCAGCCTTAGAAACAAAGCCAGCTGGGTGATCTTGGGCCAGTCAATCCCTCTCAGCCCTACAAAAAAGACAACTTCTGAAAATCTTGCCAAGAAAACTGCAAGACTAGTCCAGGCAGTCGCCAGGAGTCAACTCACACACACACATACATAATCACAAAATGTGTGTTATTTGGGCAATAACCCAATATATAGCTTAGTCTAGTTTAAGTATCTCGTTTTTTCCCAGTTTTAGCCAAGCAATTCTGAATGTCGTTCTATTGTTATCATCCCAATTGCAGCTATGATGCTAATTGACAAGGATCAACATTTATGTGATGGAATGGAATTATGAAGGCCAGACTCAGGGAG